TTCATCAAAGCAGGTGTGCTGCAGGTTTGCAGCTCATGGAGTTGTTGCTCTACATACAGCCATTGGCCTATCAATCAGAAAAGAAGCCCAAGCAAGCCAGCTGCCAGAGCATCAGGGTATGATGTTAGCCTTGTCTTACCCCTTTCATAGCTTAAACTTTAGAAAGAGTAGTTTATTACCCATGTCTCTATTTCCCTCTCAGTTTGTTTACCCTTAGTCCACAGAAACCTGGCTGCTACTCCCAATTTTCCACAGAAACTGCCCTAGCCCACAGAAACTGCCCTACTAAAGTTAGTACTGTTTGATTTTTAAAGACATTAGTTGCCTTCCAGTCTTTCTCTGACTTGATGTAGCCCTGAAAATGGCTTTCATCCTTCTTGAAATGCTCTCTTACCCAGACTTCCATGGCACTCCGTGGCACACATCCTCTAGCATCTTTACCTGTGCTTAATCTGCATGCCCTGCACATGCCTCTGGATGACTTGTTTGGATTTCCACCCCTGGTTATCTATTGACTACATGGCCTTTATAAGAAATTGGATTTGCTCTCACGGTTGAATCCACCACTTTTATTTTGATAGACCCCAAATCTATATTTCCATCCTGGACTTAATATCCAGCCATCTATTGGGTCTTGCCTCAGGTAAAAGATGTACAAAATTGAACTCATTCTCTTCTTTCAAATGTGTACCTCTTCCCAAAATCTAAGAGGTATGATCCTTCTTTGATGTTCTTATCCAGGTTAATGCCACCCAAACAACATAATAGGAGATATCTAGATTCCTGAAACACTTTTCCTATTGTCTCCAGATTTGGATACTAATTCCTACCTAATTATCTTTAACTCCCTCACCTCTGCTATTCTTCTTGTGTAATTACTTTCTTTTGCCTTCACTACTGAAAGTCTACTGCCCAGCTTTAGTCCTCACATTGCCCAAGAAAATCTTTCAGAAAAAAAAAATTGTACAAATCATTCCTTTCCCAAAATCCGTTAATGGCTCTCTAAAACCAGGACAAAATCTCAACTCACTTTCAGTCCTTGTACTATCGCCCGCTAACCTGTCCAATTCATCTCTCAATATTCTCTCCCTACCTGTTAATGTAACCAAATGGAAGTACTACTTTGTCTTCAAATGAATGAGATTGTTTCACATTGCTGTGTCTTTAGTTGAGCTCTTTGATACTGGAGTGTTTCACTCTCTAGCTGACCGTTCTTTCATTTGTGCCACTATGCCTAGTGCTCATGATGGTTGTTGAATGAACTACAAGGTTCTGCTTCTGAAAATGAGACAGTTATGGACAAGATTGTCTCATTCATTTAATAACCTCTTGAAGACAGGGTTCCAGTTCTGTAACTTTTTTTCTTTCCAACATCTAGCATAGTGCTGTGTATATTGCATACCATCTCTCTTCACACATAAATGCATACATACCTACATATATATATATATATATATCAGTGTTTGTACTTATTATAAATATATACATACATGGATACAAATCAATCTTGCTACTGAATGAATTATCTGAACATCAAGATAGAATTGTTTTTACTGGTTCTGGCTTTACACTTTGAATGCCGTAAATGTCTGAACTATGACTAAAAAATCATATTTAATCAATCTGGAATTAGTGCCACAAAGTCTGGTTAATGTACTGAGCAAGGGATGATGCTAAATTATGAATTAGATTTGAGACACTGTTTGAAGTTTGCATGTTCTTTTCTTGGCTTGCTAGGGACTGTTATCATGTTAGCTCTTATTGAAGTCCTGGGTAGTCAGTTCATCAAATAAAGTAAATCATCTATATATTAGTTTTTCAAATGAATTGAATTGACTGCTCTTGGTAAAATGTAATGATGCAGTAACAATGGTTTTTATTTATTGATTTCTTACTTTCTTCTAAGTTAAATGATAAGCATGTCCATCTCCCAGGACAGGGCACTATGACTGTCCTCATTTTATTCAAGAATTAACGAAAAATTTGGAATTTAAGAAACTTATACAAAGTCACACAAAACTGATATGTGGTAAAACTGAGATTCAGACCAAGGCCTGTTTAACTCCCCTAATGTGAAAAACACATACATTCACATGCATGTGTACACACACACACATACATTCACGCACAAAAGTGTTATACATCTTTTGTGATAATCTTAGTTATGGCAGTTTTAAACTATAGTTTGCTTTTATCTTCTTGGTTATCTGGAAGTTATTAAATGAGTTATTAAAAACCAGAAATAGATTGTAATAGTCTTAGGACTTATCCTAAATAGTATAGATAAGGAACGGATTCCTAGTGGCTAAAACTCTTTTGGAATGTTATTATCTGCCAGTATGAGCATTTGCTATTAATTAGCATGATACAAGGTAAGCCTCATTTCCAATCACCCTGTCTTTGAATTTACTACATATTCAAGGGTGCAAATCTTGAAAGCATGAAAAGTTTCTGATGTAAGTCATGTACCAAAAATCACCATGTACACATGTGGCAGACCCTTTTGGATCTGCATCCTATATTCTGGATAAAGACAACTTTACTTACTTTCTTACCTATCAGAAGGACTCATCTCCATCAGTAAATTTAAAAAAATGGTCAGAATGTCACAGATCAATACAAGATCACCTTAGGACTAGCTTCTACTATGGATCACTTCAGAGCATAAGCATTTCCCCATTCAGAATCATTGTGAAAGTGTGACAGATCTTATCTAGGGACATGTGGCTGTCTTTCCAGCTAGCAACTTGAAAAGTTCAATTAAACTGCCTTTCCCCATATGTAGCTTGCAGAGCTACAATTTCTGTGGTTGGATAATTGTGGTATTACAGGGATGTTTAAAAATCACATGGAGTGTATATTTAGATGGCATCAAGTCTCATTTTTGCATGTGTTTGGATAAATATCAACAGCATTCACCTTTTATATATTCAAATGTATAACAATGATTTTCCTTGAATCCCTGGAGGTGGATAGCAAATTTTCTGCAGCTAAAACATAGCTCATCAGTTCATTTATTCATTAATCTGTTCTTATACTTATTCAATGTTTATTTCATTTATCATTAAAGATCTAATAATTACCTATTAAATAGCAGAAACTATGCTAGGTAATATGGGAGATGAAATAATTAATCTATATTGATCCTGTTTTCTCAAGGAACTTACAATTTGATGGAGGAATGAAAATATATTACAATAATTATAGTGCAAAAGAGAAATGCTTTCTGCAATATGAATTGCACTTGAGGTTACACAAGTTTCCTTATCATACAGATATTTTTCCAAACTTCTAGGAATATGCTCATAATTACAGATGAGATTTGCATACTTTGTCTTTATTAACAAATTAATCAAATTATGTAGCATTTAGTAGCACCTCAATAAACAAAGTCAGTGATGGAAAGAGATCATGGTAGTCAATTCTGAGAATTTCATATTTAGAAGCTTTTTCACCACGCATTATTTCCAAATGATTATGTCAAGGTTTTCAGAGTTAAAAAAAATTAAGTGACATTTGCTCCTAATTTGTCACAATAATTAATACTTTAGTTTTGAAAATAAGAATGTGACTTAGAAATTTAAATAGCAAAAAAAGTTAATGCTAATAAGCCTTATATTTTTCTTTGCTTTGACTTTTTAAGTCATTTATTCTTTCATGTTCTTGAATATGTAAAACACTTAAGATTAATAATATACCAAAGAAGTATTTAATGTATCCAATATTTAATGTATACCAATATTTACATTAAATTGGAGTTCACACTGCTCTTTAATGTTTTTAATGGTTCATATTACACATAGTTACATTAAATAAATTATCTTCATGGATAAAATTTAAGCAGGCATATTATAGATAATGTAAAAATTAAATAGTGCATATAATTGTCATTGCATGGCAAGCAATGTTTTTCTTTCAGAGTTGGATACCAAGAAATATTAAGGAATATTAAGCTGGAAAAATAAAAGATGTGATAGGAATAGATATGTTTTATTTAACATCAGAGTTTCTTAAATAATACTAATTCCAAGTTTATAAATCATGAATCTTATTGTAGTACACTTGTAAGTAATTGGAACATCATACTTCTCCTCCCCACTTCTGCAAAATGGAAATTATCATTTCTGTGATGAACCACATAAAATTTGCATTGTCAGAGATAGTTAACTAATACATAATGATAACACAAACATATATATATATATGTATGTTGGGCTATTATAAAATATTAACTAAATAAAAGATAAGGTTCACTCAGATAACTATGTGGAAGTGAAAAGCCTCTGAAAAACGTGAAATACTTGATTTCAAAATAAGTGATATTTTATGACTGGAATACTCTGCTTCTAAGAAGCACTAATTTTTATTCCTGGAAGAAACTTGAACAAAGATTTATTTTCTTTTAACTGATCCTAGTGTTTGCTCTTCTTTATCTTCTGGTCTTTAGGAAGTAAGATGCATTAAAAATGTAAAACAAAACCTTAAGTTTTATTTCAAAAGATGGTTTTGAATAAAAATGCCATCTAGATGGATATAATTGTTCCATGATCATTTACTTACTATTTAATTTTATTTATGCTGTGAAATTCTGACTATTCCAAGATGAATGTCCAAAGAAAACCAGCCAAGAATAACCTGACGCCATATTAATCTATGCTTCAAGATAATATAACACATTATTTAAAATACCAAAATCCAAACAAAACCTTGCCAAAACAATAGTATTCAGTCAGACACATTGTCCAATTGGCCCTATTACTTATGTAATTTTTCTCTTTTTTCAGCTATAAGACATTTTTCTATACACATGTAAACTTCTTTAAGGATTACAAATTTTTCAAACACACATACTATTTGGGGGCAAGGTTTCCTCTTTGTAAGGTCTGAGTCACATCAGGCTGAGTTTTAAAATGAATGTACTCCATTTCTAGGTTTGTATTTCTACTGAGAAATAGGAACCAAGAGGCTCCTGGGAGCATTTTGCCAACAGCACTACTTACGGTTAAGAGGCAGGCTCGCATTGGTTGTGCCCAGCTTGTTGGCAGCCACACAAGTATAGTTGCCGAAGTGCTCCTGTGTCACATTGGTAACAGTGAGAATGGATCTTGTGCTAAAATTCTGAATAATAATTCCTTGTTGGCCATTGAAGAGTCTAGAAAACAAAATAAACTCCAGGTAAATATGTATGGTGAATGTGAGTTTCACTTTTATCTTAGATGAGGTTGTCATGGCAACAATTGACCACTCCTGTGTTGGCATATAGCATGATAATGATGCAGTTATATTTTCCTTACATTAGTAGATTTAGGGAAGGGGAGTTTGTATGGCACCTGTGGACAATTCTTATGGCATTATTTGTGCTTCATAACAAATTGAACTTGTATAAATGTATGTCCTAGTTATACATTACTTTTTTCATTTTAGAAAATTAAACATACCACAAAAGTAGCATTTCATTTGTTAAAGTCAAAAGGCAGTAAAGAAGAAATAAATATAAAAATTCCACTAAAGGGAAAAACTGTTTCTTGGTAAACTTCTTGGAGTATGTCTTGGCTATTTTCATTGATGTTATTGGATAACGCACATGAGCGCTAAGCCTACCACTGTGGTAGGGTAGCTCCAAGTCCAGAGGCAGCACTATTGTACTGTTGCAATCTCTAGCCTGGACCAATGACTTCCACTCAAGATGGAAAGATAGGAATATACTATTGTATGTGTAAAGTGAAGTCACATCTCTGATATCTTTTAGAAATGTGCTTGGCAAAATTCTTTAACTTAACTGAACTTCCACACGAGATTCAAGTTCACCTCATTCCACCCTGAATGCCCAGTGGTCTTCTCCAGAGGCCAACGGTCTCAAATAGGCTGACAGAGCTTGACTCTTCTCAGCACTCGCCCTGCCTCTTCCTTCTTCATCCTTTCCCCGAATCTGCACCTAAGTTCCTGTGCCTCTTCTATCTCATCAAGTCAATTCCTCCACTCCTTACACAGGCCCTACCTAAGACTTAGCTCTCTTTTTCTAATGCTCTTATAAATGACTCCTCTCTCTCTTGAATTGTTTTCTCTAGCAGTTTTCATGTACACAACAGGCTTTTTAAACCAAATAAATTGGAACATCTAGAAGACCTCACAGGCAGGACCTTTTGGATATGCTCTTACTAATATTTTACTAATAATATTAATATTAATACATAGTACTTAATATGATATCCTAGGCACATAATAAATAGTATATAGGTCATTGGAAGCCAGGTGATGTTCCCCTAACACAGACATTGGTAAGCTCCCTTCAGTGGCCCCATCATGAATTCTGTGACAATGAGGATGTCAAACAGATACTGAGTTCCCCCTAAAAATATCAAATGCATTGTGAAACAGATGCACTGATAACAATATGGGCTATGCAAGCTCCCAGTAAAAATGGCATGTTAGTTTTTCCTCTTAAATGTGTTTGATTTAGTACAAAATATTTCATTAATTGTGAAAATATTCATAAGCGACATCCCCTGAGAGTTCAAGTTAAATTTCTTTGCATTATATTATGTAGCTTGCAACTGAATTTAGATAAAGTATATGGTAGTTAAAGACAGATTAAAATAAGCAGTCATTCTTGATTACTCCGGGAATTACTTATATTTCATGTAATAGCTGAATTTGACATCCAAAACACAAACTTTAATCAGGTTAATAAAACTTTATGTTGAATAAACATTGAACAAACTTTAACTTCAGCAATAAACCAAATGATCTCTAATTCTGACACAAGAAAATGAGGCATAAATATTGCAGATGTGGCAGCTTTTACTCCTCTCATATTTCAAACCTATGAAAATTTAGGATAAGTTTCCACAGTGATTATTACATGTTTTTCTGCATTTCATTAATAACCTATTTGTAATTTATTAGTATCTTTGATATATAAACATCAATTTCATACCCTGAAGCTTTTATCATGATGGCTCAAGTCATTTTGTCCATGTCCAACTCATAAATACATTCTTCAGAGGACCCAGCAACTTGCTAGACTACTAAGTACCTGTAGTGCCCCATTCACAAAACCCAAGAATTTTTTGCGCTGCTAACTAGTTGAAAAAAAAAATTAGCCAATATCTTCAACTGGATAGACTCTGCCATTCCATGGCACTATTTACTTACATTCCTTTTTGTTTTACTGAGTCAGCTAGCTTTCTGTTCCCTGTGCTCTAATGTGTCTGAAGACCACACACGTTGCCGAGTCATGCAGTGTATCTGTGCTCTGCGATCTGTTTATGGAAGCCCATTTTTGGTCTCTGGCCAGCAGTATCATGTGTCTCTCTACCAGAGTGGCATATTAATGTGCAGCCTCTGCTACTCAGATCAGCCAGGCAGGTGATTACAGCCAATAAAGGAGAGAAGTATTTTTCGTGGGAGTATTTTCTTCCCCGAAAGGATCTACCTTAGTTAGATTCCAGGGAAGTTCAAATCTTACTTTCTTTTACAAGAGTTTTAGAAATGCTGATTCCTGAAATATAGTTTTAGAAACTCTGTTTGTCTTACAGATGGCAGGAAGGGCCTTTGAAAAGCTGACTCTGAGGGAGAGTGAGATGACACATGTGTAAGATTTTCCTGCAGACATCAGGAGTGTGATGTTGGAGGGGGGGTTTCTAGCTATTGAAATCAATTCTGAAAATATTCAATAACTTGCTGCAAACAATGAGCTCTATGTTGAGGGGTTCAGGACTAGGTTGGGTACATTATCTCTGCCCTTGGGTAGGTCAAAGCTGAGAGAAGAAAACAGATATGCAAACAGTTGTTTACAACAGAAGAGGATGATTTTCACAATAAGCATTTTGTGAAGATGAACATGTCTACCCTTAGTTTCGGAATATAGACAAATAAGTCATTTGTAGAAGTCTTAACGTGTAGGGCCTTAATGTGATTTCAGACCTCAATAAAAGAATAAAGGAGCTCTTTAACTGATAATCCCTTTTTCCTTATGAAGCAGATTTATTGCAATATGGTCGTCTCTAACTACATTTCCTATGATCATTCTTGTATTGACATACAGAATGAAAGATGTTTTCTTTTAACCTCTCACACCAGAGAGATTCTATGGGGCTAGCAGTTCAACATGACATCCCCTTCTTCAGCAGTAGATCAGCAGCATATGGTGCTTACTTAGAAATACCTGGTCAGCTTTCTTTGTTGCATTTTTAGCACTGGCAATATGATTAGAAAATCATTCTACTACTGAGGACACTGCCGCCCTAAACCTTCTGACACCAATTTGGAAGACCATTACTTTCACTCCCTTCTTTTTGCCTTTGCCAGTACTGCATAAATCTGTGAACTGCAGGCGATTGGCTTCACCAGCAGGTGTTGCCAGTTCCAAAATGACACAGCCCGAACCACTAGTTCTGAATTAGAGTAGTCCCCTGTATTTTCTAGTGCCAATCAGAAGTTGCACATGGAAGGCATTCTAATGAGTAGCGATACTTACATTTCTGACTCATGAAATGCTCACAGACTTTACAAGCAGAACCTCCCTAGGACAGTCACTATCTAGGATAACCAGAAGAGCCTATTGCAACATCACTGCAGGAAACCTGACCATGCAACCACCAGCACCAACTGTTAAGATTGCAAAAATAAGTGGAATAGCTATATGGCACCTTATTCATTTTATTAATAAATCCAGCCTCACTCCACATTTTCGGATTATGGGTCTCTGACTTTCCAGGTCATGGATGACAATGAACATTATCGGCTCTGAGTCCTGACTATTATTCTAGTCTTTTCAGTGTGAGCAGGAATGCTTTATATATATGGGAAATGTTAACTGTTCTCAATACATTCATGACTGAAGTAATCTAACATTAAAAGATTCCAGCACTATACACAAAGCATTTGGTATTAAGAGTGTGGGAAATTGACATTCAGAAAACATTTAAGCATTTTCAAATATATATATCAACTAATCTTTGCAGCAATCCTAGGAAGTAGGTGTTTTAGTCTCATTTAACACAGGAGAAAACAGAAGTTTAGGAAGATTAAGTTAATTTATCTTCCTTCCACCACTAGGTAAGTGGCAGAACCAGTATTGAAACCCAGGTCTTCTGATTATTGGTAGCCTCTCAAAGTAGCAACTGGCATTCAAATCATCAAGTAGAAATCAGGATATTGTATTTAAATTTGGACAGACAAGGCAGCAATCATGGGTGCTTCAAGAAAATTGATTGAAACCAGAGAATAATAGCCAAGTGGCTTGTGGTATGTACTACAGGAAAGGGGTAAATCTAATGGAGTAGAAAGTCAAGTGAAAAAGTAAACTTCAGTTCAGCTAGCTCTCTGGATATTTCTCCAAAGGAGAGAAAGAGGACTCACGGCTACCCATGTGGCACTTAGTTATGCCTTTTAGAACAGCCTCTTACAGAAGCATTCTTTAGTGGATCCAGTTTCTTGGGCTACTCACAGCCAGAGATCAGGAGCACAAAATGAGCTTTCTCCTTCCTCCCTCTTCAAATGCCCTCTTAACATACCAATACATATCCCCAGTATCAATTATTGTTTGTTTTTCTTCCCCCAAGTTCATAAATAGTTAGATGTAGAGAATACTGTGCTAAATGTAACCAAGAATGACAGGGGTGCGCATTTGACCTAGCAGTAAGATTCCAGTCGGGATACCAACATTGCCTGTTAGAGTGCCTGGTTTTGAGTCCTGCCTCCTCTTTTGATTCCAACTTCCTTATAATGCACACTCTTGGAGGCAGCAGGTGATGACCTGTCACACACAAGGTAGAGCTGGATTGAGTTCCTGGTTCCCAGCTTCAGTCCCAGCTCAGCCCTTGCTCTTGTTGGCATTTGGAAAATGAACCAGCAGATCAGAAATCTATCTTCTGTCTCTCTGCTTCTAAACTTAAAAAAAGGAAAGAAATAAAAAGGAAAATAAAGGAAAAAAATGAATGGCAAAAAAATGCAATCCATGTAGCAAATATGCAATATTTTACTTATTTAATTATTTATATATTTGAGAGGTAGAGAAATAGGGAGACTCTTATCTCCTGAGTCACATCCAGATGCTGTGATGCTCATCCTGTGCTGGCTGGAAGCGAGGCTGAAATTGGGAGCTGGAAGTTCAGTCCATGTGAGCTGAGTATGCAACACAGGTACTCT